GGGGAGGGGGAGGATATTTGGACACAGGTGCACACAGGGAGGAGAAGGCCATGTGGAGACAGACACAGGGAATGAGACCACGTGAGATGAATCAGTGCGATGCCGCTAACAGCCAAGGGCCTCCTGGGGCTACCGGACACAGGAGAAGCAGAGGAAGGACCCTCCCTTCAGGGCTTTGAAGGGAGCACGGCCAGCTCACACCTTGAGTTTGGACTTCCAGCCTCCAGAACGGTGAGAATGCGCTGGTGTTGTTGAACCCCCACCCCCACCCCGTGTCTGCATTTATGCCGGTGGCACAGGTAGAAACAGGTTTGCAAGTGCAGGTTCAGGGCAAGTCTGGGGCACACTCAGGGCCTGGCCTCGGCGTCTCCCTGGCTGGCTTCTTGCCCAGGATGACTGACAGAGGGGGGGATGGTGTGAGCAGGCAGCTCTTCTCCTCACGACGTAACCCCAGTTCTCACTCCACGGGTTCATGACAACCCATTCTTCTAGAGACTGCGCCTTAAATCCTCCTCTGCTGGTTTCCCTCAAGTGCGCCTCGTGAGCTGTGATTTCACTGGGAATCTTACACCATTGTCTGTGTGCTCTTCTACCAAAGCTTTCAAATCAACTCAATTAAACCATGTCTATGGTGGTTTTCCGTTTTCCTTTTCTTTCTTTTTCAATGGTTGTAATTTTATCAAATGGATGTATGTATATTAATGTTTTTTTCCTTTTGAATTTACTTTTTTTAAAGAGCCATTTTTTGGCTTAGAGCAAAATTGAGCAGAAAGTCCAGGGAGATCCCCCCCTGCTCCCACACACAGCTCCCCCGCTATGGACGTCTGGCACCGAGGGGTCCGATCCGTACAAGTGAGGAGCGTATGTTGATGTGTCATTATCACCCAAAGCTCACAGTTTACACGAGGTCTCACTCTTGCTGTGGACCCGCGTTTCTTTTCCCAGCGTGTTTCTGTGTCCCTTTTCCCTCTTTACCCTTCCCAAGCCCTGTGCTGTTTGGAAGAGCTATCATCACGGTTCTGCAGAGGAGCACACTCAAGGAAACAGCTGAAAAGTAGAACCAGGACTCAAACCCAGATCTCATAACTCTGGATCCAGCGGTGGTGGCTTCCTCTCCTTAATGCAGTGACGAGACTCCCTTCTGAGCTTGTGTTCTATCCCTGCCGCTAACACACACACACACACACACACACACACACACTTTTGCCAAGGTTAAGGACATGCTCACAACACAGCCTCAGGAGGTCCTGACCACGTGTGCCCACGGTGGTGGGCCTACAACTTGGTTTTATACATTTTAGGGAGACATAAAAACATCAATCAGTACATGTGAAATGTACATTGTTTCGACCTGGAAAGTTGGGACAACTGGAAGTGGGGACTTCAAAGTTGGATTCAAAGATTTCTGGATTGGCAGTTGATTGAGCTGTTATCTAAAGACCTGGAATCAATAGAAAGGGATGTCTGGGTTACAGTAAGGGGTTGTCAAGACCACGATTTTATCATAAATTTGAAACCTCCAAGTAGCAGGCTTCAGAGACAATAGGTTGCAAATGTTTCTTCTCAGACTCAAAGAGGCTGTTCTATCAGTAACTCCAAAAGGGAGGAGGGTATCATGAGGCATGTGTGGCTCCCCTTCCCCTCATGGCCTGAGCTGGTTTCACAGGTTAACTTTGGAATGCCTTGGCTGAGAGGCCATCCATTCAGATGGTTGGGAGGGCTTAGAACTTTCTGTTTGGTTTACAGGGACGTGCACTCACAGTGGCCTGGCTGTCCGTGTGTCTAACCTGGCGTGATGCACACTTTGAGCTATCTCATTCCTGCTCTGTGCCCTCATTGCATGAGAGCCTCACGTGCAGGAATTACATCTTCTCCTTGTTCTCCAGAGTACAATTGTTTCTTTCGATAAATATGCACAGACCTCCAACTTTGTTCCAATTGCTGTGGTAAGCTCTGTAGATGAAGTGGAAAAAAGTAAAGAAGTAAAGACATGATTGCTGCCCGTATTAGTTTTCTAGGGTGGCAAGGCTTCACCGATGGGGCAGCTGAAATCACAGTAGTTGATTGTCTCACAGTTCTGTAGGCCGGAGATCCCAGATGGGGTGGCCAGCAGTTGGTTCTTTCTGACAGCCATGCGTTCCTCCCAGATGTGGTTTGCTGGTGATGTCTGGGTTTCTTGGCTTGTAAAAGCTCACCTTAATCTCTGCCTTCATTCTCACCCAGCCTTCCTCCTGTCGTTCTCCACATTCACCCCTTTTAGAAGGACACTAAGTTTTTGGATAAGAGGCCACTCTAATGACCTAATTTTAGCCTGATTTGCTCTATAATGGCTCTGTGTCCAAAGAAGGCCACGCCCTGGGGAACAGGACTTCAAGGTATGAGTTTTTAGGGGACACATTGTCCCAAGGCTTGTGGTGTAGCCGGGTGGGGGCCGTGCTGCACAAGGACACGCAGGTGCATGTGCTCACCTGGGCGGTGCACCTTGTCTGTGGCTGGCGAGCCGGAAAGGCTTCCCGTGAACCGTGAGGGACTTCCGACACCAGAGGGACAAGTCAGAATTACCTAAGGGGCGGGAAAGGATGTTTGGAGCTGAAGAGAAGGCATGGGGGAAAGTCCTGAGGCAAGAGAGAGTGTGGTTCGTTTCAGAAACCTCAACAACATGACCGGACGCAGCACAGGGCATGAACGGGGACTGGCAGGGCTGAAGCTGCAAGGAAAGGAAAGCCTCGCTTTCAAAGGGAGCGCCTTTGGTGCCATAACGAGGAAAACTAGACTTTGTCTGAGGGCAGGGGAGAATCTCTGAAGGATGTTAAGCACTGGAAGGACGTGATTCATGGCACTTTTGCAGAAGCTCACAGGCTCCTAGGAGAAACAGGCCCTGAAGGAAATCAGTAATCCTGGGCAGTGAGGCCAACTAGAAACTGGGCCCAGGGAGCACAGATGCCAGGGCAAGGCCTGTCCGCAGGAGGGCTCGGCCAACGCTGGGTAGTCTGGTTCAGGCCCTTCTTCCCGCAGCAGAGACGCCTGGCGCGCTGCCCCTGGGGGTCTTCGCCGGAGGGAGCTGGGAAGCCGGTGCACACCTAGGCTGCGTGTATTCTTGATGTCTTTTGGCTTAAATGTGGAGTTCATGTTCTCACTGCTTGTTGCCGCCGCTGCTGCTGCTGTTATTGTTGAGGGGATATGGACTGAGCCACGCCGCATGCTGGGGTGACCCTAAAAGCCTGCCAGGAGTCTCTCTGGAATATCCCCAGTGTGGGAGTTGGGGAAGGGCATTTAAGTAAATGTAGTGCCGCCCAAGTGTGCAGCGTTGATGAAGTCTGCAGCGGTGCGTGGCAGTGCCCTGGTCTTCACAGTCACTCACCACTCATTGAGTCACCCAGAGCCACTTCCAGTCTGCAAGCCCCACTCATGGTCAGTGTCACCCACTTTGCCCAAAGCAATTGAGAAATGTTCACTTCTAAATAATAACAGCTATCCCAACCCCCTCCCCCACTTTTTTTTCAGTACTAACGTTCTAACCCACACCGGGCTAGAACGTTATGTCATGAATAGAAATGGTGGCAGGGGTTTCTGAGGAAGGGACAGGGCGACAATGGCAAAGATCCAGGGGAAGCTGGAGTGGGTTTTGTGCCTGAGGGGATGGTATACCTCCCTACAGCTGCCAGGAGGGTCACAGCCCCTGAATGGGGAGCAGGGCAGTATGACTGGGGAGGCAGAGGTGTACCCAGGACGTAACAATTCACTGCATGACCCTGAGAGTGAGTGCCTCCTTGCGGCTAGGGTGGCTGCAGGGAAGCTGGGGAGGGGACTGGGGCAGGCTGCTGGCCCACGGGTGGCCATGCCCATCATTCACAGCCATTTCCTCTCCTATCATTTCCTGGAAGCATCACATCAGCCCTGAGGTTGGAGGACAGGGATTGTTGACTCTGCTGCAAGTGAGAAAGCAGAGCCAGGCTGAGCCACTGCCCAAGGGGCCTAGTGGTGACAGAGTTGGCCTGGCTGGGCTGACCCCTCCTTGACCTCTCCCTTTCCTCCCAGGACTCAGGGCTATGGAGATGCAGTACCTCCTCTTTTTCCAATCCCTGGAAACAGGATTGGTTAACTAGGCAAGTGACTGTCAGTTGTATCTTAAAAATTCAAAATGGGGAGAACAGATAGGCGCAGGTGTGGCTGTACCAAAGAAGGGCTTAGAAACCACGAGCCTCCTGTGCACACAGCAGCGTGGGTGGATCTGAACATTTCTGTGCTGAGGGAAAAGGGTAAGAAACAGCAAGAGATGCGTGGTGCAACACTCATTAGGTAAATTAAAAATACACACATAAAGCCACTGTATTTTTAAGGAATTGGCACAAATAAAAATACATAAACACATTCCAATGGTTACCTATGAGGAGGTGAGGGGAGTAAAAGTCCATAAAAAATAAACCACAGGAAGGGCCTTGCCCAGCCTTCAATAGAGGGTTATATGTCTTCCACCTCTG